GTTAAGTTTAATACAAAATATAATTTTTCATATTATGGACACGTTTCATCATAATTAATATGAAACATATCAAACTAAAAATACAAAACACTATTCATAAACCTTGTTTCTTAAAATACATCAAATCAACTATATATATTTATATTACATTCTAAATTAACTTTATATTTAAAATGTAACATAAATATATATTTATATCATATCATCACATAAATATTGATATTGAAAATTTTATCATTAATAACTCAAACTCCAAACAAAAACACCCTGAAATCTGATGTTATCATCATTATTATTATTATTATTATTATTATTATTATTATTTTCAAAATATATAAATTTTCTAATGTTATACAATTAAAAAAAAAAAAAATTGTTTTAGAAGTAAAACAAGAAAATTTATGGAAATGAAAGTAGTATTATGTTATTGTTAACTAGAATAAATAATGCACATTCTAACATTGAATACCTTTGCACGAACTAATATTTATTAAAATTAAATAAATTAGGCAGTAATTGTTGCATAATTCTTTCATTAATAACCTAAATATTGTAGGGTGTATATTAATTTCACATAAAAAATATCACTAGTACTTTATATAAATATTATTGCCTAATTAATTAATTTCCGCCTAACCTAGCATAAGATTTAGATTTTATGTGTTAAAGAATAATAGTATATCTACTTTGTATAAAATATTTTAAATATTTATATTAAATATATGTGTGATAGAAATAATATGTATAAAAAAAAAATTAAATTCAAAATATTATTTAGAGGCCGAGAAAGACTATAGAATTGTTGTATAATCGCGTGACTGGTTTACCACATGGTATTTTGACCTAATCAGCATATGTTTATAAAAAAGAATAGCCAATATTGATATAAAATATAACACGAATTTGAATAACACAATATATAATTATATATAGCAATGTATATCATAATTTTAGCAAAATATATTTTTATTTCAACAAAATAATAATTTGATCTAATTAGAAAATATCGCCAAAGAAAATAACAAATATTAACATAATATATAGTACATTATATAACATAATATATAGGGTAAACTGTTTTTTAAGTCCAGTGACTGGACCCCCTTATCATTTTAGTCCCGTAAGTGAAGCCTGTCGCAAACTAGTCTCATAAGTGAAAAATTTTCATTGTTTTAGTCATCCGGCGCCGGAGACGCCCGCGTGGCTCGCCGGAGGTGACGTGTCCGCCAGGTCGGGAATTTTTTATTTTTTAAAATTTTTTAAAAAAATTATTTTTCATTTATTTTTAATTTTATTTGCATTTTTTAATTTTTTTATTTGGTCCAATTAAAAAAAATTAAAAAAAATTAAAAAAAATGAAAAATAATAATAATAAATCCACGTGTCCGCCAGGTGTTGCTGACCTGGCGGGACACCTGGCGTAAACGTCACCTCCGGCGAGCCACGCGGGCGTCTCCAGCGCCGGAGGACTAAAATAGCGATAATTTTTCACTTATGGGACTAATTTGCGACAGACTCCACTTATGGGACTAAAATGATAAGGGGGTCCAATTACGGAACTAAAAAAAATAGTTTACCCTAATATATATTATCTATTTTATGATAATTTGTTAATTATTTTAACTTAATGTGTATATATTATGTGATGATTTGTTGATTCCTTCAAATTAATATGATGATTTGATCAAATCAAATAAGCATCCTACCAACTGATTAACAAATATATTAAATATCTTGTTGATTTGTTGTGATTGTATTTTTTCCATGTTATTGGAAAATATAGATTGTGTGATAGATTTTATTTTTAATTTACCCATATATATTGGTTTTGTATATCATTTTAATTGATACAAAATGAATTAATTCATATTATAATCCTCTCTTCTACCCGAAACTATAGTATTTGTTGTTTTGGATACGAGATTTAAGAAATATTGATATTATATTGACAGTGGGTAAAAAGTATAGGTAAAAGACATTTTTGCCCTTGTGAGTGTATAAGTGTAAAAGGTAGTGGCAATTGTATAATAATAATGAAATAATAGTAAGGGTAGTTATACGGTGATATAGTTATTTGTGGAAACAAGACTATTGTTTTGGGACGACAAAAATAGTAAACAAGACTATTGTATTAGAACGGAGGGAGTAGTTTTTTTGTTTATATTATTTAAAACATATATTATAACAAAATTGAAATTAATTTTGAAGACATTTATGAGTAGAAAATAAAATTGAAAATTAAGATGAACAATTATCTAAATCTAAAATCGAATATAACATAAAACAGATTTGAGTTGCACGCGATCTCCTTGAAGCAAATTCGAATGTTTAAAGAGGCATAATATCGGTAACCACCCCACGCCTCAAGGCTCAATCTCGATTATATATATATATATATATATGAGCTCAATTTCTCAAGGTAGGCCCAAGTCTAGTTGGGTCTGTCCAATTCATTAATTGATTCTTTTAATGGTAGAAGAGACAATATTGCATTGTATGGTTTCTTTGAACTTTCCATGTGGGAAAAGACATTTCAAATTCTTCTTCTTCCTCTTTCACCTTAACACGCCATCAATGAGACATTTGCTAAGTTTCCGGTAGTGATTATATAATAAATTTTATATAAAATATTTTATACAATTTACTACTTTTTCGGTTTCACATTGTTGATGCAATTTTTCAATAATAAAAAGTAAAATTCGAAAATAGAAAATTATCTTCGAATTTTATATAATTAGTGCCTGTGATTAGGAATCTCTAAACACTGTAGGATACATAAATAAAATATGAAAATAAAACTACAGACTGGAAAATAAAGTGGTGACTCCCAAAAGCAATTCTCTTGAATTTGATGTCGATTGAAGATGGTGTCTTAGGTCACGAACAGACCTATTTAAAATCCATGTCAACCGCCACCGCCAAGTCGTGTCTTCAAATCTGCTCATCGGTTGAAACTTCCTTCAACTGTCCAGAAACTGTTTTTGACCCAACCTGCATACCTGCTGATCCGTCTCATCTTGTCTGTTTTCCACTTGTTTGACCTCCTGACTTGTCTGACTTTGCTTCGCCCGACCTTATCACATCCGACCTCCGTAATCGACCTGATCACATCCGACCTCAGTGCCCGACCTTATCATGCCCGATCTCCAAGCCTGACCTGATTACGTCCGACCTCAGTACCCGATATTATCATGCCCGATCTTCGAGCCTGACCTGATTATGTCCGACCTCAGTACCCGACCTTATCATGTCCGACCTTTCGTGCCCGATCTTATCATGTCTGATCTCCTTGCCCGACCTTATCACGCCCGACCTCCGAGCCCGACCTGATCATGTCCGACCTCAGTGCCCGACCTTATCGCGCCCGACCTCCGAGCACGACCTGCTCACGTCCAACCTCAGTGTCCGACCTTATCACGCCCGACCTGCTCACGTCCGACCTCAGTGTCCGACCTTATCACGTCCGACCTTTGTGCCCGACCTTACCACGTCCGATTTTAACGCCCGACCTTGTCACGACTGGGCTCCGCACCCGACCTTATCATACCTGGGCTCCGCACCCGACCTTATCATATCTGAGCTCCGCACCCGATCTTATCATATATGAGCTCCGCACCCGACCTTATCATTCCTGAGCTCCAAGCCCGACCTGATCACGTCCGACCTCAATGCCCGACCTCTGAGCCCGACCTGCTCACGTCTGACCTCAATGCCCGACCTTATCACGCCCGACCTGCTCACGTCCGACCTCAGTGCCCGACCTTATCACGTCCGACCTTTGTGCCCGACCTTACCACGTCCGATCTTAACGCCCAATCTTGTCACGACTGGGCTCCGCATCCGACCTTATCATACCTGGGCTCCGCACCCGACCTTATCATTCCTGAGCTCCGCACCCGATCTTATCATATCTGAGCTCCGCACCCGACCTTGTTACACCCGATATCTGCCTTCTCCTGAGGAAGCCTTTTTCTTAACAGCGTCCGGACTTATATTCGGAGTCTCTTTTTTGAAATCCTACTACCACTAACAAGCTCATTAAACTCTGCACCACTCCTTAACCTAATTTGATAAGCTCATTATCGAAAACCCTACCCATCGTTTTTTTGTACTCAACACACATAAAATGTCCATATTTTTTATTTCGAGTTGTTCCGTATAATTTGTACTTTCTTTTTTAAAAATACAATTATACATTTTAATCATATTTTTAAAATTTTATAATTTATGATTTTCTTAATCTTAATTCAACTATTTAGTTATTTTAATTTTAATCTATAATTATTGTTTTATACAATAATTACTTCTATTAATATAATGTAAATTAATTACTAATTATAAATTATTTAAATTATTGTATCTAAAGTAACCTCGACAATTTACGTGGGAGGGGCGGATATCATTTATGTAAGGAGATTAAACTCCTTCAATTCATTCTTCTTTTCTTTCTAAGTAGTATACTACTTTTTCTTATACGTGATATATTATAATAAATTATTTTTCGATTATAAAAATCTATTATAATTATAAAAATCTATATCTAATGAAAATAAGAGTTCAAAGAATGAATTAAATAGTTTTATATAAAATAATCAAATATTATATTAAATATATTAATTATTATTTAATAGATGAAATATTAACTAAAAGATTCAAACTAATTAAAAGAAATTACTATAATAGAAATGCATCCAAATATTAATGGAAATTAAAAATACCAAAATCAAATTAGCCATACATAAACACACATTTTATTCATCTATAAAACACACAAATTTAACATCAAATAAAACACACTGTCATAACTACATTACAAGTTGGAGCTTGATTTTAAATAATTTTTTTATATATATAATATGGAAATCCGCCGTCAATATCCTTCCATGCACCCTGGATAAACCTCCCGACGAACCTAATGTTTGCAAACTAGGTCCGATAAGTAAGTCATACTATATGAACCATGTGTGACAGACATTGATTTCAAATAAATTTACGGACACCTAAGCGTTGTCTTCGGTAATGAACAAAGCTACTTCATGTAACATCTTCCTGGCATTGTCCGTGTCCGGGTTCGCTATATCGAACACATGTCCCTCCCCCGGTATATCGAAAAACCTAATAGATCCTCCCCAAGCACTTTTATTCAATGTGTCAACATAAAGCTCTCCTCGATCGCGAAGGATATCTTCCCCGGCAACGTACACAAGCAAATTTTTACACCCTAACTTATGTATATTCGGATCGAGGCTCGGATTTGTTGCCGGGTAGTCGAATGTGGCGGGGACATTGGGGTGCACAAGCAACCATAATCGGTTCCTAAAAACAACTTCGAAGGGTTTCTTTTCTTCTTCTCCGATTCGAGTACTTCCCCAAAAGTTCGGACAATTCAAAAACAGACCTTTTAGAACAATCCCGCTTTTCTTCTCCAATCCGGCCCGCAAAACTACATTATGTGCAATATTGCCTCCGGCGCTATCCCCGCCTACAAAACCCTTTCCGAAATCTACATTTTTTCGTAACCACGGCTCGGACCCGTTGCCACCGAGGGAACGGGAGTGAGAAAATACCCACTTGAGTGCATACCATGCATCGTCGTACCCTATTGGGAGATCGTGTTCGGGGGCCAACCGGTAGTTCACCGACACGGCGACGATCTTGGCTTTGGAAACTAGGGAAGTTAGGTAGGTATTATATGTCTTAGAAAAGGCCGATCCGGTCGTGAACCCGCCACCGTGGTAGTAGACGAGGATGGGGAGGTTCTGCCGCAACTTAAGGTTCTCTGGTACAAAAATCCTGGCGGAGATGTTACGGTGGTGATCGATGGTCACGTCTTTGGATCGAACCCTAGCCGTTGGATCCGTCGACGGCGGGACGAGTTCTTCGGGAAGGTATCGGATGATTGTACCATTCTTATAGACTCGAACGAAGGGGAAAACGTCGTGTAATATGTCTAAACAATCAACATTGTCGAAGGTAGCTAAACATGAAACTCTATAAGTGAATAGGAGAAATAGTAAGCTTAGAGGTTTAGTCATATTTAAGGGTTTCTTGATGAGTTTTCCTTATTATGTACCTTTGGGTGAGTATATACACATTTATAAGTGTGTCAAAATTAAAATCGAATGGTGTGTTTACTCGAGGGATTTGATTTTCGTTTTGCTATATAATTTTTTTTTTTTTTTTTGAAATATCAAATTAAACACTTATTTTTATTTATTATATTACACTCCAATTAAATTTTACATTCAAAACATCACATCAATACATATTTATATCACATTTCAATTCAAAATTTCACCATTCAAAACGAGAACTCAAAACCAAAACCTCGATGTAAATTTTACATGAAAATTTTCAAGTTGGAATTTAAATATTTTGGATATTTTAACAAATAAGTCATCTTGAATTTGAAAACATAAATGAAAATATAATAGTAGGGCATTGAATGACCTAAAATCTAATACCGACCTATATAGTCTCGATTGGCTTTAGCAATTATAATTATTACTCCCTCCATCGTCAAGATGTGTACTAAAACACAATTTAATTAATGTAAGTCGGTATTAATTGGTAATTTTTATTACTTTTTGTATTCTATCGTACAAAAAATATAATGGCAAAAAAATCATTTTATAGTACAAGTAAAACTTAATTTGTAAACTAATGTACGCACTTAATTTAACATTGTCTACAACATTTAAAGGGGAAAAAAAAAAAAAAAAATTGAAAAGTTTAGTGAAAAATCTTGACGAAAAAATTCTTTTCTCATTGGATGTGATTGGCACAGAAAAATGAAAGTAGGTACAAAACTTTAGGGAAAAAAAAAAAAAAAAAAGTAAAACTTGAAAAATAAATTATTTTATTATTATTATTTTCTTTTCTCGTATACAGAAAAATTAAAATAAATGAATATTGAAAAATGATGCAGTGCTTTTATTGATTTTTTTTTTTTACTATTTAATTATTGTGATTTTTTCGAATTACACTATTTTAATTTTACAAAACATCGCGTCTAATTTATTATTCAAATATTTAATTCTTATATTTTTTATAAAATTACACTAAGGGTGTGTTTGTTTGGGGGTTTGAATTTTGAGTTGGGATTTGAATAGTAAAATTTTTGAATTTGAATAGTTGTATGATGTGATATAAATAAGTGTTGATGTGATGTTTTGAATGTAAAATTAATTTTTAGTATAATATAAAAAATAAAAAATAGGTGTTTGATTTGATATTTTTGGAGGGAAAATTTTAGATGAATAGTAGGATTTTGGTAGAATCCTTCAAACGAACAAACCCTAATTTCATCTTACATCGCATCTAATTTATTATTTAGACAACTGGATTCTTACTTACTAAAATATTCTTTTACCTGATTTATTATTTTTTCTTGATCGATTCATCACATAGCTATAATCTATTCTACCAAGTAACCAAAATAATTTTTATTCACTACTCATGAATTCTTCTTCTATGTAACTCTATTATCTATTTTCAAATTTCTGTAATTTTATTTTTTGGACCAAACGCACCTGACAGTAAATGGAGTATTGTAAGTCTTAATCAATTCTCTCTCTGCAAGATAGATTAGCAAATTAGCAAATTAAATCCCTCACGTACAAAACTTAGTAAATAAAATCCATTCTTTGGAAGGTTTGGATTTTGTATATAAGATTTGAATAATAAAAATTTTGAATTTAAATAATTATATTATGTGATATAAATATATAAAATAAATTTTTGGTATAAATATTTTAAATAAAAAAAATGTGTTTAATTTGATATCTTCTTTAAAAAAAAAAAAATGATGGATAATAAAATTTTGGATAAAAATCCCCGAAAGAACATACTCAACTTTCACCAAAAAATACCATTCCATAGCAAACTAGGTGAGATACACCTTAACAAATGCATATCTCAATTCGAGACGAAAAGGTCCTTCGTGAGGAACCTAAATTTTTAAAAATATCATCTTCATCGTACCAACGAGGGAGAGTAGTCTCAGGACAGAGAGCAACAACATCGACAATATCTATTATATGAAAATAAATTTCACAGTCCAAATTAACCAATTTTCAACGTCGACTACAAGGATACGCCATCTCCATCACAAAATCCGATAAATCAAAATTCAAAATTTCCACCGTAAGGGTTGCCTATCCTATCATCATCATCATTATCCGGTGTGCTTGAGGTTCTTAATGCAGTGAATGCATCGACTCAGTTACCTGTAGCGGTTTGAGTAGCAGCTTTCGACGCAGTGTTACAAGTCTTGATCTTGTAGGAAATCATTGGTCGTTGAGAATTTGACAGAAATAGAGATGAAAGATAGAGTGATCCTACTGCGCCTGCCAAAAAAACTTTAGACAAAAATTATTTTCTTTTTATAAATATAAAATATTTGTACAAATTATATCTAATTTGAATTGATACGGGCCCTATTCTTTATTTGAGTAATTTTATTCTCATTTTGGGTTGATTTTTCAACTTGGATTTTGAGGCTTTTGAGAATTTGATATTTGATGTGATTTTTTTACGAATTTGATCTTTCATTTGACTTTACCAAATAATTGGGGGACTTTGGTGTCCGTGCGGGCAAATTTTATTGTTGACTTTAGATTTAAAAATTCTTTTTGATTGATTTAGTGCTTTGATTTTTAAGGAGGTGGATTTGGTGCTCCATAACGTTTTTTTGGCGGCGTGTCCCTTTGACTTTTTGATCAAAAAGGGACAGGTTGATGCTTTTGACAAAGAATGCGGCGAAAGTCTCGAAGCGTTAGAATGAACCTTAGAGGCTTTTTTTCCTTAGCTTTGACGGATTATTTAATGCAATTGAGAGCTTTGATTTTTTCTCCGGCTTGGACATACGACGAAGAACGTTAACTTCATTCGGCGTCTCAAATGAATTGGCCAAGACTCATCTTGAGGAGTGGTCTCGGCTTCCTTTTCCGATGATGCCGCGCGGAACGTTCCAATTGGCCGATAGAGAGATTTGTAATTTTTCCTATTTCATCGGATGTCGTTTTCTATATTTTAAGAATTTGATTGCCGTCTTCCTTTTTTATTAAAATTTTTATATCATTTCCTTTCTCAAAAGATATTAACTATAATACTTTTTTTGTTGATTTTGTTTACCTAATTTAATGACAAATATTATATGCATAAAATTTGTAAAATATATTTCATTTCTAGCAAATTTCACATTAATAGTTGATATTTATTTTACAAAAATCAACGTATATACATAATTGAACACCTTATATTTATTTTATAAGAATTTTATTTTTTTAATTGAATTTAGACATTTATTTTTGAATGTCTACAATTACTATTAAGCATAAAACACAAACAAAAATGCAAATGCAAACCAAACGTACCGTTCTTTTTGTAAATAAATATGTTTTTAATTGATCAAGTTTTTACTATTTTTATTTTTACTATCCAAGTTATATAATTGGACATTCAAATTGAAAATATTTATACACATTTTTATTTAAAATATGTTATTTTTAAACCTATACAATATATTGTACAACCCACACAACCCTCGGGAATGAACAGGAGCACGGGCTGGTCGCCGATGTTCTAGCATCAGGTAACCTACCAATGGGAATAACTTAGATAACAACAATTTCTTTCTTAATGATCTGTGGAAGGAAGTGATTCGGGGTCTGCAGCTGGGAAAGAAACCAAGAATCCTCTTAGGATATTCAGTCTCGAAGCTTTAGACAAATTAAAGGCTTTATTTATATGATTTGAGGTCCATATCCAGACTCCGATCTGCTTTATATGGTTCCGGATCCAACAATTCTAGTTTCAATCCAGAATCAACTGTCATGGACCGAATTGATCAATGATACAAGATTTAGAATAAACTACTAACCGGAACTAACAAAGGAAGAAGAAAGACTAAACGGAACTAATTAAACAAGAAAAAGAAACGGATTAACTAAACGGAACGAATAAAGCAGAAAAAATGTTAATCGAAAGAAAATCAAACCTACGTAAATACTGTTGTAAACACGACCTGATACCATTCTAGCACCAAACATTCCTCTACGAAGGCACCGCCCCAGTTGACACTTTGAAAAGCTCTTTTACATTTCCCAAATGCTATGAACTTAAGACTTTATATTCAAACCCGAATTTTGAAACTAAACCCCATGAAACATGCAACGAAATTGTATTCCATGAAATATTCGACTAAAAAAAAAGTATTGCTATCAAGCATAACTTCTATAAAAAAAAATGATCATAAATGATCAAACATTCATAAAATTATATTTTTTCTTGGTGTGTCTTACAAAGCACCCAAAGACATATTTATAGGAGTTTGGGAAAAGAAAAGTTGATATATTTTCCTATGTGAGATGGATTATATGAACAACCCCCCAATAGGAGACAACTAGTCTAATGGTCCTCTTATATATATATATATATATATATATAAGTGATCCCCCACTAATGCATGTATAATCTTAAGTTTATGTAATTACATATTAAACCCTCTATTTTAGCATACTTCTAGGTTTACATAACTTTTTCGTTAGTTGTCCGATTGAAATGTTTCAAGCCCTAATGTAACCTTCACCCCCACGACCTTCCCCCACATCAACAAGTTCCCGCATGTTGTGACATTGTTCATGGGTGGATTCCAATTCTCTAATTTTTTTTATTAAACGTTACAATTTGCCGATCCATGCTTTCTCTTGAGTTCTCGAAACTGGTCCGACAAGAAGCTTTGAGATATTGTATGATTTGAGGTCCATATCCAGAATCGGATCCATTTTATATGGTTTTGGATTAACATTTTTAGTTTCGATCCGTAACCAACCGATATGTTGATGTTTATATGGAGTATATAATATTATTGATTAATTATATAATTATATTTTCTATATATAATATAAGATGGTTTTGTATATTTTTTTTATATTACTTCCTCCGCCCCATTTCAAAATATTATTTTTATCATTTTCGTTTGTCTCATATCAAAGCATCAATTTCCTATTTTAAAAAAATAATCATATACTAATAGTAAAATACCTTTAATTTTTACTTAAATTACAAACATACCGTTACATATACAATTACTTTATATATAAAGTGAAATTACAAAAATATCAAAACTTCTTATAATCTTCCAATAACCAATAAAATACTATTATTTCTTAATCTACTACAAAATTCCAAAGGGAATGACTACAGTGCTAATTTGAAAATATCCTTATATTTAAATAATTTACTCAACAAATCTCATTCTATTTGTATTATAAAAGACTAATAAAAATATTTTTATATTTTCCTATTGATTAGTACTAGATATTAATATAATAATTAATATTCAAAATAACCTATAAAAAATCAATGACAACATTCTTACATGAGGGTATTTGAAATTTCAAAATCGTGTACAATAACTCATCTAATAGATACTAATATATATATATATATATATATATTCTCTATACGCCCTTTAAGTATGGACATTACAAAGACCTTTAAATAATTGTTTATATCAATATTATTATATTAATATATAAATAAAAGACAAAATAATCTACATATACAGAAAGTACCACCAATTATTGTTAAAATACATTATTTATAACATTTTGTGCAAGAAATTGAATGAATACTTTCAAAGGTACGAAGGTAATACTTAGATACAAACACAAACGAAGGTAACACTAAAAAATATATATATATATATTTGTAACAGAATTTCACTAAAGATCACGTCGCTAACGTAATTTCATCATTAATTCTGTCTCTAATATCATTAGTAACGGAAAAAGTGAATTTAATGACGAAAAAATCTCGTTACAAAAATGATATTTTCTTATAGTGTATAAGAGTTAGATACAAAAATTTATGACGGATATAATTAATACATAATTAAAAATATATTTATAAAAATAATTATAATATAATATAATATAAATAATTATAAATTAATATTAAGATAATTAATTAATTTATATTTGATTAAAAATTATAGATTATAAAATTTAAAATATAAATAAAATATGTAATTATTTAAAAAAAAGTGATATTGTTAGTATTTTTAACATATAAATTAATATATATAATTAAAAAATTAAAAAATTAAGTGTTTAAATTCTTTGAATACTATATCTCAATAATATATATAGAGTGTTCCATAGTTTATGATTGACATAAATTAATTTTATAAAAAAATTAAAAATTTTAAATATAAATAATAATATTTATTTATTAAATAAAGAAATAAAAAAAATTGAGTGAGTCCTACATGTTAAAAACTATAAATTTAATCAAAAAATTAATGGGCAAATTATATAAACCCCCTTGTGTTTTAGTAAAATGCACAAAACACCTGTGTTTTATTTATTGCGTAAAACTCCCTTGTATTAATGTAAAGTTTGCATTAAACACTCTCTTTGTCCAAAATTGATGTTCTGTTATAGATAAGGATCTAAATTACGCAAATTTTATATAAATAAAAAATATAAAATATGTTAAATAATTTTTTGAATAAAATAAATAAATAAATAATTAATTAATTCTTCATTTTATACTTTTTGAGGACAAATTATTATCTGATTTTTATAAAAATTGTAAAAATAAATTATTGATCAATTATTTATTTATTTATTTTATTTAAAAAAATTATTTAAAATATTTTACATTTTTTATTTTTATAAAATTTGTATAATTTAGATCTTTATTTAGAACTGAACATCAATTTTGAACAATTGAAGTGTTTCATACAAATTTTACATGAAGTGTTATATAATTTACCCAAAATTAATTTATATTTATCAAATATATTTAAAATTAATAAATTTATATATATATATATATATATATATATATAAACGAAGTGCCCCGTTCTTAAAATACTTTTGGACATACGGCAAATAGCAAATGCTACGGTTCCAAAGGTGTGTCCGAAAAGCATGTCCAAAGGGAGACTACTCTTTTTAAAACTACAAAACAAAGTTAAATCAGTTGACACTAGGCGACGGCTACAGCATTGAATTTAAAATTCAACAGTGTGCGAAATAGCATATTGTGTCCTACCGAATAACACATGGTGTTACCATGAACAACATACCGTATACGTTAATAGAATATAGATACAACACATCATATAGTCTCACACAATATATGTTATACTTGATTCTAGCACAAAATATACTCTCATATGACACACGATGTAATTATGAACAAACAACACATGTCTTTATTACATACAATATGTGTTATTTGTAATAAAAACATTTGCTATTTTTGTACTTTATGTGTGCTAATTAGCACCGTAACCTTCCCCGCACACTAGCTACCAAGCCATTTTCTTTGCTTGTGACATTATTCGAACTAATTATAAATTTTCTTGTCTACATAAGTTTAATTTTCTTGTCTACATAAGTTTTCTTCACTAGTTTTGGTCTTCTCTTAAAATAATAATTTAATCTTTTATTTGTTCATATGACCTTTCATAGTATTCATTATATTTTTCTCTTAAAACAATATACAACATTAAATAGGTATATTTTATTCAAATTTTTATTATTTCCATTACAATCAAAAGGACATGAATCAACTTCTGATCCCATCAAGTCAAGTCAGCACGTTGCTGATTTGACCGGATCAGCATATGTTATAAGATTCACGAGCATATATAACATATTTCAACATATTTATAATATAATATATATTATATTATAAGTCACCATATATTATCCTATAGCGCAACATATGTAGAGATATGTATAAATATATGTTGGCCACTCATATGATATATGCTGATCCAGTAAAATCAGCACCATAGTGACCCAATAAAAATATCAAAATAGCGCACATTTATCAGGGCGCTTATAGCGCGTGGCCACCGTTAAAAAACGACGCCACGTCATCCATCATCGCCTTCGCCTTGGTCGTGTTCGGAGCCAATAAATTGAACACGTGCCCTTCCCCTTTCACGTCGACAACTCTCGCGTCCCCTTTCCACCCGCTCGCTCTCAATTTTTTCACATAATACAATCCTCGAGCCCTTAGAACATCTTTTTCCGCAACATATACCAACACTCTCTTGCAACCGAGCTTTGAAAGATTCGGATCCAAGCCCGGGTTCGAATCCGGGTTGTCGAACCCGTTTGGCGAATTCGGGTACGCAACTAACCATATTTTCTTCATTAATTCAACCCTAAACTCATCTCCTCTCTCCCCAATTGGCTTATTCCCCCAAAAATGGGGGCAGTTCAAGAACATCCCTGCTATGGAAACCCGGCCCGTTTTATCCAGCCCGGCCCGAATAGCCATGTTGTGTGCAATATTGCCGCCCGCGCTATCCCCGCCAATGTAAACTTTATTAAAATCCACATGATCTCGCAGCCACGGCTCGGCCCGGCCCCCTTTGCCGAAGGCCCATTCGAGGGCCCGCCACGAATCGTCATACCCGATCGGGAGCGGATTCTCGGGGGCTAATCGGTAATTTACCGAGACAACGACAATATTGGCTTCGCGGGCGACGGAGCTGAGGTAGTTGTGGTACGTCGGGGAAAATGCGGACTCAGTGACAAATGCGCCGCCGTGGAAGTAGACTAGAAGGGGCAGCTTCTTGCCGCCTGCCGCGGCGGTTTCCGGCAGGAACAGCCTGGCGGCGATGTTGCGGCGCGGATCGATACGAATGTCCTTCGATCGGACTCCGGCAGCAGCCGCCGGATTGGGCGACGGCGGGACGACGGCGGTGCCGAGTAATCTGCTAACTGTACCGTTTTTGTAGACGATTATGAAGGGAGAAACATCGTACAATATGTCCGAGAAGTTGATTTGAGCGGCTGAGATTACAGAAATGAGGTGAAGAAAAGCAAATTGAAGAAATTTGTGACGAAGCATTTTGGTTAATTTGTTTGAAGGTTTTTTTTTTTTATTTAGTAAAATGTCACAAAACATGATGTGTATGTGTATCTATATGTATATATATATATATATTGAATAATAGTCTATTATTATCTAGTGACCTATTCATATATTTTTGGGATTATGATGTGGATTATAAAGTATATTGTCTATATTATTAATATACTTTCCATGTTATTAATATACTTTCCATACAATAATGTATTTTTTGGATTTTGGAAGAAATTAAGAGATTGTATTTTAATGTGCTTTGATTACTATGCTCGTTTGATTCAAATAATACTTATTTATACAACGGGGATATAAAAAAATAATATATTTGTAACGAAAATTTTGTGTAAAGTTCACGTAGCTAACGTAGTTCATTTCTAATTATGTCTCCAAGGTTATTAGAAACAAAAAAAGTGAACTTAGCGTGAAAATAATTTGTTATAAAATAGTTATTTTCTTGTAGTGAAATATAATATATTATTATTTCAGCGCAATAAGTAAATTATACGGTACAGTATAATTATATAATTCACTTTCTTGTGGTGAAATATAAATTGTTTCAAGTTAGTGTGGTAACTTATCAACTCAGCACCCTAACAGGCGTTGTTTTATTGGTCGTTGGAAATATGTAAGATTATTTTTATTATATAGGAATGAGATACGAAAATAGTAAAATTAATATTTTTGGTTGGGCGGAGAAAATATATATAGCACAGTGAGTTCCTCCCAGTATCTATAATTTTTTTTTTTGTCAATTTTACTAATTTTTAGATAAAATAATTATATTAATTAATTAATATAATAATAATAATAATTATTATTATTATTATTATATAGCACATGATTGTGGTTTTGCCATATATATATTTTCTTGTTTTTTTAAAAAAAAATTTTAGTCAATATAATTAATTATGTTACATACTCATTCAAATTGAATTTTCAATTAATATAACATTAATCATCATAATTAATAATTGGTTATATTATTATTGTTACTATTATTATCAATAAAATTATATTGACAAGAATAGAAATATATATATATAGCACATCAATGTGGGTCCGTCGTGTATATATATATATATATATATTTTCTAAAGTTTTCTATTTTTTAGTCAATTACTCAAAGTGAATTACAATGAACCTTCCAATTAATATAATCCTAATTATTATAATGAATAATTGTATTATTATTATTATTATTATTATATAAAACAAATTGATATGGTTCCTACATCTAATATTTTTATCATTTTTTTAATTTTATATATAATTAAATTATTTCATATTAATTACATATTTGTAATAAAGTTATAGTTAACACAATATAAGAATATTTCAATATATTTTACTTTTTTTTTTTTTTTTTTTTTCAGGTTTATAGTTTTAGATTGTAAGAATTGGTGATGGTATTATAAAGAATGAATGTTTAATTTGTGTTTGTTGTATTTTGTTTATTTTCATTGTTATGAATATATGGTGTATATTATATATTATATTTATAGATAATATTTCTAAAAACATCATATTTTTAATAAACACTTACAAATATTTTTTTCAATTTCAAAATATATATTTTCAATGTCGCATATGGGTGTGTTTGGTGGCAATTTCAAACTAAAATAAATATTATTCATGCTATGCAATTTTTACTAAAAATTCATTATTTTATCTTATAAAATATTAAATTAAAATATTATTTAAATAAAAATTTAAATTTAACATCTGATTTCCAATTAATTTCAAACTACAATATGAATTATTTATTATTTATTTTTCACGTAAAAGTATTTATATGAAAACAAAAATTATTACAAGTTATGATTAGGAAGAACTATCAACAATAATATGTTTATTTGAATCATATAAATATAAAATTTCAAAAATGAAAATTTTATATACACATAACTATAATATACTACTTCCTCCTTCAAAAAATGAGGTCAAACTTTTAGCCATTGATTTTAATATAAGTTTATATTTTTGAATATTTTTTACTTTTTATAATAACAAGAATATAAATAAATAGTATGATTTTTTATTAAATAAAAAAATAAGAATATTTTTAAGAAACTGAACACATTTAAGAGACGTGAGAGTTTTAAAATTTATAATAGTACTTCATATAGTCTCAGCCTTTAGATCATGTCCAACCCACTGCATAAAGGGGAGGGCTTCAACCCACCCCCAAATTCCCCCCTCCTCTCATTTTTTTTTTTTTTTTGCAGAAATCCACAGTGTTGGTATTTTTCGGTGTATTGTGTAATTTTTATTTTTTAGTAGATGATATATAATTTTATATTTTAAAAAGTTATATGTAATTTTATTTTTTTTAAAAAATAATGTATTATTTTATTTTTTAAAAGTGATATAATTTTAGTTTTTGAAAAGTAATATATAATTTTATTTTTTAAATTGATGTATAATTTTACTGTTTGAAAAGTGATATAATTTTTATTTTTTAAAAAGTGATATGTAATTTTATTTTTTAAATTAATTTTTAATTTTACTTTGTAAAAAGTTATGTTTAATTTTTATTTGTAATAGTTATTAATTATAAATGTTAATTTTTATATATGTAATTTTTAAATAATTTATAAATTATATGTGTATGGATCTAATGTAAAAATAAGTTAAAGTTATGGTGTAATTTGTAAATATAAAAAGTTATATAAAATAATATAAAAGAGGAATATATAGGGAATATACTTTTTAGAGTAAAAATTAAAGTTTACGGTTGAAGTAAAATTACTGTAGATCAATTGCATTTTTACCGTAGCAACTGGGGTGGAGTATTAAAATATATCAACTCGTAATATATTATCTAATATTGTGCTACGTGTCATCATATATATGCAAATAATTAAGCAATGTACCAAATGCAATTATATATATATATATATGCTCGTATGCAAGTTGACATAATTAATTAAATGTAATTAATTAAAGAATTGTTTATATGTATAAACGTGCACACATGTACCACTACAATAAAATATCATTTTTGTAACGAAATTTTTTTCTTCCTAAATCCATTTTTTCCGTTACTAATAAAATTAGAGACGGAATTAAGGATAGAATTACGTTAGCTACGTGAATTTTAGCGATAGAATTCCGTTACAAATATACTATTTTTTTAGTAGTGTACACGTATTTAAAAAACTTCGACCATGATCCAGATCCATTTGCACGATGAGGGACAATATTGTTTAGTTGACTTTTATGATTGCTTAGTTTATTGTGGCTGTTACGTTAATCAAGAAAATTTAACATTCCAAAAAATAAAAAATCGGGAGGCTCGAATTTGATAATAGAATTTTCTAAACAAGTAAAACAAAAAATAAAATGACGAATAAATAAAAGAGAATCCAAGACATATTTTAAATTTTGTTTGATATAATCTATTGAAGATGCCTTAAATTGTGGTATCAGAACTTCAAAAAACTTGTTTTTTTGCAAGTTTGATTACTTAGAATCTTGTTTGTTTTTTTCGGAAAAAAATGTGTTCTTATTTTGTAGAAACGTTTCGGTTTTAGTGTAAATAAGCTATTGTTGTTATAAATCGAGTGAATCAGGCTCTGTTTAGGTTAAAGTTATGCGGATCGTAGAAAAAACCTTAAGTTTTGTGATTTTCTCTCTTAGATCTATTTGGTTCATTATTTTTCTTCCCTTACACACGCTTTTAATTCCGAAAATGCAAGGTTTGTCCATACACTTTCTCGAGTGAGCCGTAGCATTCACAATGGCGACTTTCGAACTAGCGAAAATCCAATTAGTTGTCCGAAATGGATTTTTCAAAGGACAACAAATTGTATGTCCAAACATTTGGACATATGTTTTAATGAGATAGCATAATAATTGGTAATATTTGTATTTTTAATTAAAAAAAAAAATAGAAAAAGTAATTTATTTTTGTTGCAAAAAAAAATAACAATAATTTTTTTATAACAATCAACAAAATTAGCAAGTAGGTCAGGCCCTAAGGTTGGACTAGAGGAGCGTTCGCCCAAGGTCTATTGTAAATAAGTTTCATATTAATATATATATATATATATATGACTAAATTGCACAAAATCCACCCATGGTTTCATGAAATTGCACCAAATCCCCCATATTTCTAAAACTGCATCAAAATCTCTCGTGGTTTCGTAAACTTTATGTCTAACCCCCTCAATGGTCCTTATTTAACGGTATTTGACCTAATTGCGCTCAAACTGCGAATAAATTTTAGAATCTCAATTTATAAACCCCTAAAATTACAAATATATTTATTTTTTTATATTTACCCTAAAAAAAAATAGTAAATATACTAAAAAATAGTTATTTTTCTTTTTAAAAGTTTATTTTTACTATTTTTTTAGGCTAAATATATAAAAAAATAAATATATTTGTAATTTAGGGGTTTAAAAATTGAGATTCTAAAATTTATTCGTAGTTTGAGCGCATTTAGGTCAAATACCGTTAAATAATGACTGCTGAGGGGATTAGACGCAAAGTTTATAAAACCACGAGGGAATTTGATGCAGAAGTACGGGGGATTTGGTGCAATTTCTAGGTGGATTTTGTGCAATTTAGCCTATATATATTAATATAAAATTTTTATAAATAAGATCCATTTTAAATTTTATAGAAGAAGTCAATATAATAACTTATGAAACACAATTTTCATTATTAACAATTAAAACTATAAAATTCCAACACTAATTATGATCAAGGAAGAGTAAAGAATAGAACACTTCTCTTTTTAATTTGTAATTTAATTTTTTACACTATTTTAAAAAGAAATCAATTTACTTTTTCTCTCGAATTCATTTTCGAATTTAATATTCTAATTTTGTCCCAATATTTATGGAATATGAATTGTATATATGAAAATAAGGGTGTCATATGATTACATCATACATAATTAATGCATCAAGATTTGTTACCTAAAGTCGGGTCCAATGAAGGGTTGACAGATAAAATACGAGTGAGAATATGATGAATGTCCTTGATAGTGAGAGTAACTGAGGCAATTGGTGCACGCTAGTAGCGGCACTTGTGGTAGTGAAGGAGCTGGATTTAGAAGACTTATTATTCCGCTTAGGACAGTTCTGAATCATGTGACCCCTATGAGGACAATAACGACACTCAATCATAGGACAATGAGTATAAAGATGATCGCCATCCGAGCAACGGCAACACTTGTCAAACTGAGGTAGCCGAGCATCCGTGCGAATATCTCTGTGAAGGTAGTTCTGTGAAAGAACAATTAGAGGCAAGGGCATCCTTGTGAGCATAAGTGGATGAGCAAATAACTAGAGCCAAATAAAAAGTAGGAGCCTTAAGCATCTTAAAACGAGTGTCTTCAATAGAATATCCTTCATGGCTGTCTCCAATGATGATAATGATGATAACCGGATAGACTCATATTCTGGACTAAGTTTTATTAACAGTACTTCCAATAATCCCAGGCTTTCATTGCAGTGTCCATGCAACGGAGTTGAATCTAAATAGATTTGGAGAAGGTATTTTGAATCCAATTTAAAATAACGTGTCTTTTTGTTGAATATTATCCCACATTGCTAAATGTGTGGGATCTCCTCTAGTATATAACGGTGAAGGGCCATTCCACCTATCACCAATTGGTTTTAGATTGGATGTCCGGATCCCTTCTTAACATGGTATCAGAGCCATGGTGCCCGTATTGGGTTTGGATCCTGTATGGATTTTCGAGATTATCATCTCGAGGGGGGAGTGTTGAATATTATCCCACATTGCTAAATGCGTGGGATCTCCTCTAGTATATAAGGGTGAAGGGCACTCCATCTATCACTGATATAATATTTTCAATATAAATTTGATTTTTATAATAATATATAAAAATTAAATTTTGAGGAATGGTAAATTTTTGTAAAGTTTATCAAAAGAACACACCTTAATTGTAATTCAATGCCGTTAGATACATACAAACTAACTTTTTGTTTTCATTCTTTATTTTATCTTTCCTTTCAAGTCTATTGCTGAATTTTTATTTGTATTATTATATGCAAGCAGAACGAAATGTCTAAACGCTAATATACACAGCTTATCATTATGTTTACCTACGGAAATTACTCTTATCCATTTTTACACACATTGTGTTTTGTTTTTGCTGTTGTCCAAAGCATACAACTGTCCTAACTATGGATGGCATCATTTGCTTATGCATTTCTATATATGATGTTGTATTTAATTTGAGTAAGATATATTAATAAGTATCATTTAATTGGTCTCACTTTATTGATTTTTATATAAATTTAATTTTAAAATAAGATAATAAAAAATTTGAGTAATAAATAAATTTGAATTTACATTACAAAAAAAATAATAATATATTTGTAACAGAATTCCGTCCCTAATGTTCACGTAGCTAACGTAATTTTATTCTTAATTCCATCTCTAATGTCATTAGTAACGGAAAAAGTAAATTTATAGACAAAAAAAAATTTGTTACAAAAATTATTTTTTCTTGTAGTGTTATAATTATTCAATTTAAGTACATATTAAAATTGGTTATAATTTTCTGACATTCAACAAAATCTACAAATTTCAAAATAAATATTAAGCAATAATAAATTGATCATAGCTTTCCACAACAAATATTCAAAATAATGTCTAATTATATATATTTCTTATTTTGTAAAAAATCATCCACCCATGCACACACACGAAAAACCAGTTATTATTTAACTGTAAAATTCATGGGCTTTAAAAAAATAATAAAATTTGAAATAAATCCAAAAACAAAAAAACACCTGGAGAACATTAGGTGTTAATACTACCCAATTTCATTTTTTGTTCAAGTTTTGGACAGAAATGGAAAAAAAGGTTGTTCTAGAGTGTCCTAGACCTTCTCCCTCCCGCTCTCTCCTCACACAAAAAAGCCTTTGAAGAATGGTAGTTCAAATCAACATTTTGTCAAAGGAAGATATGCTGCAAGTGTAGCAAGTGTAGAGAGGTATATGTATGCATATATATATATATATGTTTATGTGTATCTATCTAACTTTCAATGTGTCATGGATGAACTTTTTCGAGCTTCGTCACTTTTTTTTTTTTTTTTCCGAATCTGAATGATTCATCTTTGTTGTGTAGCTTAATATCTTGCCGTTATTTGGTAGCTTGTGTTCTTCATATTTGACCAATCTAAACAGGTACACAGATCTGTTCTTTTTTATTTTGTCTCTAGATTTCCACAAATTAAAACTAGCGTTTAAAAAGATGTAATCCTTATTTATTTGCTTATATATATATATATATATATGAAAAAAAACTTATTTTCCTTTACTTGATATTATTTTCTTTTTTTTTCCTAAGTTTTTCTTTTTTGTTTTTGTTTTTTCACTATGTGATATTTTGGCAAATTAGTTTTTACACTTCTTCCAACATAACTGAATTTACTTCTAAAACAATCATCAAACTCTTGGTCGCACTTGGTCAATTATTGTGAATTATTTAAATGCACGCTTTTAATTTTATTAAAGTTCCCATTGAATAGAATCTTTTATATTATATGCTACATACGATATCTTTGTCTACCAACGGGTAATCAAGTTTATTAGAGACTGGAGATTGAGGACATGATTCTCGGAGAGATGGTCTAGCATGCAAAGACAAAAGGTATATTTTAAAAGATCATCCACCAGCCGAAGAAAGCCGACTTGATCAAGTCCTTGGGCATCAAAGGTTGAGGATATTCCCGAAAGTATTAAGGTACGTCTTGAATGAATTGGAAATAACACATTGAATTGATTGATTCATTTTTGTTTGTGAGTTGTTTGGTTGATTTGCGAAAAGAAACATAATGTGAATGGTTGTATAGTTCCTAAAGAAGTTTGAAAATTTTCATATATATTTTTTTCCACGGAAAAAATAGAATAGGGTGGATTATAGTTCATTTAGATTTCTTATGAATATAGTTTTTAGTTTGAGATTGCAATATTGCATACATATACATAAAATTGTATAGGTGTATGATAAGTTCGGAAATTTTCATTTATTCCGACAATTGGTAATTCAACATTGCTCTAGGTTTACACTAATTAATGTGTGTAATTGGATAGATTATAGGTATATTAAAATTGTAAGGATATTCTCGTAGGATTTTAATAGTTATCATTTACATCTATGACTGAAGGTTTGCAAAACCAATTTTCATGGACTATAGGAAATTTCACAACTAATTAAATAATGTCCTGATGGATTTATATATTGTTGAATACAATGCATATAGTTTCGAGTTGTAAGTATGTATATGAGGATTGTGAAGGAACACACAATGTACTCAGGCCTACTTGATATTCAGTCAAAAAAAAAATCATAAAACGTTATCAAAGAAACAACAAAAAAAAAAAAAAAAAAAAAAAAACGAAATCATGAATAACCATAAAGAGAGGAAGTGCCGGGAATAATGACAAAATAACATGTGCTTATTCCGAAATCGAATCTTTGAAGCAATGATGTGAATTTATTTATAATCTCCAAACACTCCCCCGTTTCCTTCCAAATGGTTTTAGTAAGGGCTGTGATCACCATTTTTTGAGTAGATTTGCTCAAAAAAGAATAAATCAATCTCAATGATATTTTTTTATTATTATAAATAGAGGAAAAACTGATTGTAAAATCAACAAATTATTATTGTCTGCCAAGTTCCATAATAAATTTTTTACTACAATTATTTTGAATAGTTTTATGTTTTGGTAAAAATAATATTGGCCCATGCACAGACACCAAAAAAAAAAAAAAAAAAACAGTGTTTATTTAATTAAGATGGGCTTTTACCTATAATAAAATTATCAATAAAACCAAAAACCAAAAAATACCAGGAGAAGAATCGGTCATTTCTACGACCCAATTTCATGTTTGGTCAATTTTTGGACAATCATCGAAAAGACTGTTCTAGATTTCCTCCCTCTCACTCTCTCGGTCTCACACAGAAAACCCTTTCGGGAGGCGTTGTTCAACTCGACAGTTTGCCGAAGGAAGGTTTGCAGCAAGTGTCGACAGGTATGTACCTTATTCTGAAAGTAGAATAAATTTTTGTAGAAATACTGATTTATATGATTTTGACTAAATACATACGTCCACCCCAGTGGCCGAAAATATTTCATTAATCAAAGGGAAGTTCTAAATATAGTTTGTTCCCAACGAACTAACAAACGACGAAACAATTAAACAATCAAATTGTCATAAGTATGAAATATTACAACGAAATAGTAACAAAACGATAACAAATAATTGGGAACACTACAGAAAGAACAAATAAATCTAGCAACAATAAGATAGATGATGATTTGCATCGAGCAACAATTCACCAAAAAATATCTTTACAGCAACAACCAACATGCAACATCCCATAACTTTATTATTTGCGTGCTATCCTTAGGCTTTGTGTGCACAAACAAGACAGGACTGGTGCTGTCTTGGCTGCTCTCGTCATCCATCTTTATGAAATAACTATGCCTGTCCTTCCAAGAAAATATTCAGCGACAAAGGAGGAAGGGAATAGCTTTAGAAAACATTAGTGTTCACTTCTACTTAAGGATAAGAAACAGAGATACTGACAGACCGTTGGGTCGGAGCCGAGTCCGACGAGCTCGCTGGCCCTCAAGCAGCGGATCAAGCCTTCTAAATCTTCGTCTACTCTGAATCCCACCATAGGCTTCTTCGACTTGCATCTATAAATCACCGACCGCGCTTTACACAGTTTCTTCTCGATTTCCCCTAATTCACCCCTTTCGGAAGCGCACAGCGCCCTCTCCCCCAACACAGAGTATCCGCCAAGCACCGCCATGTCCTCGCACCGCCATGTCCTCGAGCGTCAGAGTAGCTTCTCCCCAGGGGAAAACGAAGGAGTTGGTAGTCTCGCACCATTTTTCAAGGAAACCGAAGAGAAGATCCTTGTTTCGGTGTATGGAGATTGTGGAGCTCATTATAGCGGAATGAGAAGCGGTTGCCAGCAAGTTTTCCTGCTTTATGGCAATGATCTTTACAGCAAGTTTTCCTGCTTTATGGCAATGATCTTTACAGCCGCAACACTTTCCTGGTAAATAGATTTAGCAATATCAAACCAGGCATCAATCGAAAAAACAAAATTTACAAATTCATAAGAAACCTCTATGAACTACAAATCACCATATTCCGTTTCTTCTGTGGAAAAAGAATGAAAAAAATTTGAAACTCTTTTCGGAAATAATATAATCCATCACAAAACACTACAAGAAAAAATCATTTTTGTAACAAAACTTTTTTGTCTCTAAATCTACTTTTTCCGTTACTAATGACATAAGAGACGGAATTAGTAATGGAATTACGTTAGCTACGTGAACTTTAGGGACGGAATTCCGTTACAAATATATTATTTTTTTGTAGTGAAATAATATGCAGTGAGAGCTAAAGAGAGTGAGAGAGGGAGCATGTATATTGAAAAACAAAAGTATTGTACTTGTACTTACTACATATTGAGTAGAGGAATCCAAGGTTTGTTAATGTTGAAGCATTGGGATACCATAATCAACCCAAATCAAATGATTGGAAAGCGAGACAAGCCACAAGAAACCAATATAGCTTTTACACAAATTTGTTATTGTTGGTCCCAAATTCGTTCAAAAATCAAGCCGCAACCAATTAAAAGCACAACGAAAAACGAAAAGCAAATAAATACAACACCAACATACTCCCAAATAGATTTTTCCAAAGACAGTTCATGAACAGATCAGACAACACACGCACACTCTGTGAACTAAAAAATAAAACACACGAAATTGTTAACCCAGTTCGGTCGTAAAAGACCTACATCTGGGGGGTTCCAACCCAGGCATGACTTCACTAAATCGAAAACAAGTTAAGCTTATACGGAGCTGTGTTCTACTCCCTCAAGAATTGCTATTTGCAAATCATTTCTATGCAACACCATTCAACAAGATTATGTAACCAACTAAATTCACTCATAATCTATCTTCTCAACAAATCACAATACAACACTAGGTTGTTACAACATATTGCCTTTTTTTCTCCATGGACGGGAACAGCCATATCTTTAATATGGGCCTGGAAAAATAAAAAATAAATCGCATTAGGGCCTTCTTGGATTTTGGACCTGCACTCTGGAATCCAATCAGCCCTTGCACTTTCTTAGTACACAAATCTAGAAATATCAAACCAGCCATCAATCGAAAAACAAAATTTTAAAATTCATAAGAAACCTATATGAACTACAATCCACATTTTATTTATGTCGTGGAAAAAGAATGAAAAAAATTAAAAATTCTTTCAGAAACAATATATCCCATTGCAGAAATAATATATAGTGTGAGAGAGTGAGAGAAAACATGTATGTAGAAAAATAGAAGTACTTTACTTACTACATATTGAGGAGAGTAGTCCTTGTTTTATTTATGTTGAAACATTGGGATATCATCCTTAGGCTTTGTATCAACAAACAAGACGGGACTGCTGCTTTCTTGGCTGCTCTCGTCCACCATCTTTATGAAATAACCATGCCTGTCGGACAGTCCATCCAATAAAATATTCAGTGACGGAGGAGGAAGGGAATAGCTTCAGCAAACATTAGTGTTCATTTCTACTTAACGACAAGAGCTAAACAGACACACCTTCGGTTGCCAGCAACTTTCCCTGCTTTATCGCAACTTTCCCTGCTTTATCGCAACGATCACTGTTTTTTCAGCTGCATCACTTTCCTGGTACACAGAGTTAGCAATATCAAACCAACCATCCATCGAAAAACAAAATTTTAAAACTCATAAGAAACCTATATGAACTACAATCCACCAATTTTATTTTTTTTTTCTGCCGTGGAAAAAAAATTAAAAAATTCAAAACTTCTTTCGAAAACAATATAACCCATTATAGTGCGAGAGAGAGTGAGAGAGGGAGCATGTATATTGAAAAACAGAAGTATTGTACTTGTACTTAGTACGTATTAAGGAGAGGAGTCCTTTGTTAATATACTTCGCCTTTGTGCCCACAAACAAGACGGGACTGGGTGCTGTCTTGGCTGCTCTTGCCCACAGTCTTCATGAAATAACTATGCCTGTACATCCAAGAAAATATTCAGCGACAGAGGAGGAAGGGGATAGCTTCAAGAAAACATTAGTGTTCACTTCTACTTACGGATAAAAAACAGAAAATCAGACCGACCATCAGGTGTCTGCAGTTAGCTCTAGATGACAGGCAGTTGCCAGCAAGTTTCTCTCCTTTATCACAAGGATCACTGTCCTTTCAGCCGCATCACTTTCCTGGTACACAGATTTAGCAATATCAAACCAACCATCCGTCGAAAAAGAAAATTTTAAAACTCATAAGAAACCTATATGATCTACAATCCACCATCTTTTGTTTCTGCCGTGGAAAAAATAATATATAGTGCGAGAGAGAGTGAGAGAGGGAGCATGTATAAAGAAAAACAGAAGTATTGTACTTGTACTTACTACATATTGAGGAGAGGAGTCCTTGTCATGTTAATTTTGAGATATTGGGATATCATCCTTAGGCTTGGTGTCCACAAACAAGATGGGACTGCTGCTGTCTTGGCTGCTCTCATTTCATGAAATAACTATGCCTGTCGGACAGTCCATCCAAGAAAAAATTCAGAGATGAGGAGGAAGAAAAATTAGTGTTTGCTTCGACTGAAGGATAAGAAACAGAGAAAGAGACAAACCATTGGGTGCCTGCAGTCAGTTCCCATCAGGATTCCCTACTTTATCACGATTCAGCTGCAGCATTCATAAGAAAAACAAAATTTTAAAATTCAAAAGAAAATAAACAAAAAATAAATTCCAAGCTTCTTTCACATTCTATTTCTTCCAGAAAATTACCAAACAATTCACAAACAAGAATGAATCAATCAACTCAATTTGTTTGTTCAAAAACAATTTCACTCAAGCCGTACCTTAATACTTTCGGGAGCATTCTCAACCTCTGAGGCCTAAGGATTGGATCAAGTCTGTGGTTTTTGGCTGGTGGATGATCTTTTCAAACATGTCTTTTGTCATTCCGTGCTTGACCATCGCCTCAAGAATCTTGTCCTCAATCTCCGACATCGGCTGCTTTGAGATATCTTTCTCATTTGAAGAAGAGCAAAACACTAATTCGGATAGCCACTCTTTCTCAGCTTGCCGGCAATATTTGTCCGCCTCAGTCGTGCCAGCAGTCATAAGATGGTAGGTATGGACAAATTTGTTTTGCCCAATCCTATAAGCTCGACAGATCGCCTGCTGCTGGACAGAAGGATTCCAGAGAGTCCAGCAGAATCACCCTGGAAGCCCCAACCAGACTAATGCCCTCAGAGCAGCACTTCGTCGACGCCAGCATGATCTTGGAATCATTTTCTGGATCGTTGAATGCGTTGATGACATTCTGGCGTTGCTTCTTCTCTAGCTTTCCTTCCAGCCTCAGAATTTCCTTCCCCGCATTCCACTGGAAGGTCGCGGTCAGATGCTCTTCAATCAGGTCCAAGGGCGGAAGGTACTGGCTGAAGATGAGCACTTTTTCCTTCAGCGTCATACTGAGGCGGACAAACTCGATGATGAATTTTGTTTTGACTCCTTCGTTGGGATTGAGCTTCGATGCCTCAGCTGCTTGCATATCAATTCCATCAGTTGGCACTTGCGACTTGCATCGTTGGATAAGGTAAGGATGAACAGAAACCAAAGAAAATCCAAAATCTGAACTCTTAATTGTTTTCCTTAGTCGTTCCTCTTCCAACCAGTCGATCAGATTCTTTTGCAATCCAGTCGATTTCAAGAGGACAACACAGTCTCTTAATCCGGGAAGACTCTTTTGCAGGATAGAACCTTTGTGCACATGCACAAACGGCGCCATTGAGACTTTAAGCCTCTCCACTGCACGGTTGATGGATTCCGGAAGCAAAACAGGCCTAGATCTCCTTCGTTTCCTATCTGAATGCAGAATCTCAGTGAATGTCGGGTCCTGCATAGCTGCTTCTGCCACTGTAGGCCTTACGATCTTCAGTGAGTTGAACAGCTCTCTAAAGTTGTTCTGGAAAAGAGTCCCAGACAATATAACACGCTTTTCAGTCTTGAGCTGAACCAGTGCAGTCCAAATTTTACTCCGGCGGTTGCGAGGAGTATGGCCTTCATCAAGAATCACAAGTCGAGGCATCTCAAGAAGTATCGACCCCAGAACTTCGAAGTTCTTTTCAACACCTGACCTCTGCCCCTCTTCGCCTGCATCTGCTTCCACGTTTTTCTGTGCCGTCAGTTTCTCAAACAGACTGTAGCTAATCCCCAAAAGGCTTCCCCCTCTCTTCCATGAATATATTTTGACCATCCGGATTGCCTCCATGTCCCTGCTTCTGATACTCGTTCCTTGAAATAGATGATCAGCAGCCGCCATCTCGTCACCGATAATTGTCAGATTGTTCAGGTTGTGGAAATTAAACCCGGAATTCCACTTCCTGAACTCCCCTTCCCAGTTCTGAAGCAATCCAGCCGGGGCGATGATCATCGGCAGACAGTTTGGATACATCTTTAGATATGTCTCGAGGAATATGATCATGAGACGTGTCTTTCCTGTCCCTGGGGCATGAGAAATGATGCATCCACCCACTCCAGCTAGATTTGAGCTCTTTAAATCGGCAATATCGGTACTGCCTGCCAAGTTCCTCCAGAGGAACTCAAATCCTTCTTGCTGGTGTTCGTACATACTTTCCCGCACACCAGCCTTGATGCTCCACACTGAGCCGCTAGTCCAGCTGCTTATATCCGCTGCATCAGCTTCTGGGAGATTAACGGCGCTAAGATCCAGACCCTTCCCTTTCTCCTGCTTCTTCTTTCCGGAAGCATTACGAGATTTGATCGCCTGCGAAAGAAAGAAGAAGAAGTGGTATAAATAAGGGTAGCTGCACAAATTTTAAATCAACTTAAAATTGCACTGACCTACATTCAGATAACAGATTAGTATAGAATTAGGGAGGGTGGATAAATTATAGGAACACTTTTGATGTTCTCAATAGTTGGATGATTTTCTGATTTCAATTATTTAAAGAAGAAATTGATATGTACTCAACCACGGAGGAATTACATCCTTCGGTTGAATCGCCACATGCTGACAGTAGATACAAAACCATCCTCGATCGTCTTCTAATATCAACTCATGCAGCCCTCGAGCACATCTACGCTCCTGAGTCTCTTCCTCCTCCTCATTGTCTACTCGAACAACCTGCCGGCCATTAATTGATCATTAATTATCATATCGCATTCTGAATAATTATAATAAAAGTTCCGATTTAGTTCTCAATCCATGTCAAATCAGTTCTTGTCTATTGTTTGGATATAGAATTATTCTACACAAGTGCTGGAAGTGATTTACTTACCTCACGGCTGGCAGTCGTTCCAATTTCCTCAACAGCACAGCTAAAGTTGAACTCTTCAAACAAGTCTTCCATCTCCTCCGCCCACTCAGCTTGTCTCTGTCCCTCTTCTGTGAGTGGCACGACATCGTCCTCAAACCGAAACTTCTTTGGAAGAGGAGGGTAGCCTTCAGCTGCATCTGCCGCCCCACTCCCTTCACCGGTATGCATTGATCTAGACGGTTGTCCGAGAATAGATTCCTTCAGGATTTTGGAGATGTCAAATCTTTTAGGCTTCAGGTTCTTCGCTTTAGCCCCCGTCATAAACTTTGTCATCTCCTTAAGCCAATACGGCATATCTTCTCCATCCCCGCCACTTTTGCAAATCCGTGTAGCTTTCGCGCTCTGGGCATTTGAGGCTGAGACTTGGTGCGCTCCTGCCTTCATTGTTCGGTCATCATCATCGCACCCACCCTCCTCTGCTTTCTCTTCCTCTGAGGAGTGTTCACTGCCATCTTTCTTTTCGGCGTTCCATTGCAGCGCTGCCCTGAAGCCTTCACTGGCGCGCTATCCTTTTCAGTTTCACTTCTTTTCTGATTCTGTCGTTTTTGCTTCCTCCTCAGAGTAAAGTCTTGGTCATCCTCCTCATCCATGAAGTTCCCAATTTCATCGCCAGACAAATAACTCAACTCATATGACTGGCATTTATTGGTCCTACTTAGAGATCGAATCCAACCTCCAATGCCAGAAGAACTGTCACCATGTACCGGAATGCCATCATCGGCATTTCCTCCGCAGACAGTATCCCACAAATCCTCATTCAAATCAGTCACTTCTTTCCCCTTCTCTATGGGAGCCATTGTTCTGGAGGGGGTGTCGGCAATGCCCCCATCGGAGTGGTCCTCTAGTTCAGGGACCGTCAATTTAGGCCCAAATAATGCAGCATAAATATCTGCTTGATTCCTCCGATGCTTCATACAGGACAGGTCTTGGTTCCTGTCAGTGCATCCTTCAGTTTGAGCTGTTTGAAGCTCTTCATCGACCTGCAGGCCATGAAAGTTCAATTTGAGTATCGAATAAAAGATTAGGAATGCATATTTAGTGAAGAAATTGTTCATAAAAGGCATTCAATATCTAATTGTGTGAATTAATTGAATCATTGAACTCATTTTCTAAACTTTGTTAATCTTTTAGCACCTTATGGTCAAAAGAAATGTGTCTTTCGTCACGTCTTTGGACTTTGTCAGTGCTCAATGAACCAGCCCTTCCGTCGTCCATATTGGTCATTGACGGAGATGGCAATTCCCTTCTCTTATCCATTGATTGATGATTATTCTACATAACAATGAGGTATAGATGGTTAAACATAGTAAAATGCTTCCAAAAAAAAAAAGAAAAAAAGACACCAGCCATATTACTACAAGTCATAAGATATCACAATAATTCATAGTTACTATAAAGTAGCAATAAATCCGCACTTCTCAGAAACCGTGAAAAAATTAAATGGACATTTGGATCTTTAATTTCCTTTAGACTGCATAGACTGCATTCAATATGTTAGAGTGCCTAATTTACCCCTTACTTATTGCTTCTAACAACATGATGATATACATAAAACTTATTCGAAAAACTTATAGGCTCCAATCCCAAAAAATTATACTACATAACGAAAGACAAACATCCAACTATAAGCGTGTCTATTATATAATATGTAAGAAAGATAAAGTCCTTCCAAAGCAAGATAACATTCCATAAGTGAAGAATATGTAAATATCTAATATGTGTATATATCACATAGAAGAGATAGAGTTTATCTGGGAAAAAAATCTAATTATATATTTATTATTGTATGACATTTATAAAAAAAAATATGTATAATAATAATAATAATAATAATAATACTTCAATTATAGAAAGCAAGATAAGTCAGAATATAAGGATACATGTTAGAACATTCACTTTGAAACCCTTAAAAAAACAAATGCTTCATTTACACTATTTTAAGAAACTGTAAATAAAAATAAATATAAAATACAAACAAGCCTAGTGTTCATCTATCAAATAATCAAGTAGTTTGTTATGTTTAACAAAATTTGTAACTATATAAAATTAATATGTAAATACCAATAGCCTATTCTCTTTCTATATAAGCAAGCTCCCTCCGGAAACATAGATGCAATGTTTGGAGACAATAGAGTATTAGTAAATTTCATACATAGCAATGGAAAAAACTTCAAAATCACTTATGACTTTCGATGAAAAAGCTTCAAGGATTTTTCCCTTATTCTTATTTTCAATATTTCATATTATGTTTGTTTTATCATATTCCTACACACGGGACATTTATGTGAAAATTTAAGATAATGAAGCATATCCCAGTTACTTACATATCCAAAACATGGTTGTGAAAAATTAATGAACACGTGTAATTGAACATTTACACTTTACTAAGAATCTAAGTTAACAAATGTTTATAGTACATCAAATAATAAAATACTATTAAACTATGTAATATTTAATCAAACATTTGTTAAAACATTGAGTAGGTGTGGAAAAAGAAAACAAAATATGAAAGTTAAGTCAGACGTAACTCCAACAACACAATAAAAATCTACTCAATGCATAGGATTAAGATCAAGGAGATACTTACGTGGCTAAAAGTTATTTTCTTTTAAAACTATATATTCCCAGAGTGAAAAAAAAGCGCAAAGAGGTCAACATACCACAATGTGCAAAAGTAAAATTTTCACTTGATGACATCAATAAAAACAAATAAATAAACTTGACGACCAACTACCAGACAAAAAGATCGTATACGTAGAATATACATGATTTTGATAGGAACTTTAATAAAAATAAATGAGTGCATTTGAATAACTAACAAGGCAAACCTACGTGAACCAAGTGCGACTAAGAAAGACGTCGGGGAATCAATCAATCAATAGCGTAAGTATCGTAATGGTAAAAATCAAATTTGATAATTGTTTTAGAAATAAATTTAGTTATGTTGATCGAAGAGTGAAACTAACTTCCAAAACATCACATATTGAAAAAAAATATAATAATATAATATTAACGAAAATAAAAAAAAACTTTGAAAAAAAAGAGAAAATAATATTAGGTAAAGGAAGATGAGTTTTTTATATATATAAAAAAATAAATGAATAAGCATTTCATTTTTTGAAATCCTAGTTTTAATTCTGAAAATCTAAGAAATTAAATAAAGAAGATCACATATGTATACCTGCTTAGATTATCCAAATCAAACAAGAAGAGCACGATTCCACCAAATATCTGCAAGAAATTGAGTTAGAAAACTACGATGAATAAATTAATCATTCATTCAGCTAAAGAAAAAAAGGAGACGAAGCTAGTAAAATTACATCCATGATCATGTTGAGAAATAAACTTGATCTAAAAAATAAAAGTGGGAGGATTATAGTAATTCATTGTCTAAAATAAATAAATAAATTACAAAAATGTAACCCCATGCAAGAAATTAGCCTATATCATGTCATTAGTTTGGAGTTGTCTAAGAGACATTCATGGCTAAACATTAGCTCTAGGAAAAAATCTTGTTTGCATTGGTTTAGGAGAAATTGTGTTAATTTACCTTTCTTAGCCTTTTCTTTTGTGTATAAATAGGCTTTGTAATTTCTTTTTTAATCATCAATCAAAATATCTTCTTCTCTTCTCTCCTACAAAGAGTTTTGTGTTCTTAGTTCTCTTTGTGTTCTTCCTCTTTTCTTCCAACAGACCACTTGAAAGGTAGATACATGTGAATATATATATACATATATACATACCTTTCAGCACCGGCTGCAATCTTTCTTTTGACAAATTGTTGATTTGAAGGAGGGCTCCTAAAAGGTTTTCCGGTGAGAATAAGAGAGTGGAAGGGAGAGGGGCTAAGATGAAGAAAGTGTTTCAATTTTGTCCAAAACATGACCAAAAACGAAATTGGGTCGTAATCAATGAATTTGGTGGTGGGTTTATTCTGGAGATCAAAGTTTTTGGGGGTGAAAAAGTGTTTGGAGAGGAAGGTAAGGGTTAAGAAATGTCTTGCTGGTTTCGCCTGCTTAGGAAGGATGCTCGGGTTCAGGTTCAGGTTCCTCTTCGATTTTACCTATGTTTGATGGCTCTTGTCGATGAAATTTGCGTTTTCTGTTTGGTTTTTCGATCGAGTGTGTCTTGATGTGCAGACAGTAGGAAGCCAAAGTCGAATGCAAGTAAAAGAGGTAACTGATATTGTAGCGGAATCTTCTCCAGGTGTTTCTCATTTTTGTTTTTGCTATTAGTATTTGTGGCAGTCTGCATAATATATTAGTATTTGTGGCAGTCATGCTTTGCTATTTCTTCTTTTAGTATTTGCTAATATATTCTTAATCATGTAACATTTATGTGAAGAATTAATGATCATGTGAAAATCGAATATTTACATTAGAGTACCTCAAATGGTTATAGAAACATTGAGCAGGTGTTGAAAAAAAAAATATAAAGGTTAAGTCTATCATAACTTCACACTATATGATCATTATATAAATGCAACATGTCAAAATTAAGTGCTCACTTGCTGAAATCAATAAGGCTAGCAGAGAAAGATCTTATGCAATATAATGAAAGCGTCTTTGTTGAGTCTATTTGATAAGAACTTCAATAACAATAAATGTGTCCATTTAAATAACTTACCAAAATGGTACCAGGTGCGACAAACGGAAGACAATCGAATCAGTCTAGGGGATCAATCAATAGCGTGAGGAATGTAAGAACAATCTCACTTGGTAGATAATTCAAGAAATCTGTCATTGTAATATTATATACATTGCAAAAGTAGTCAACATCAACATCTTGTAAGAAATATTGAAATGACTATTGGATAATCTGGAATAAAAATTCTGAGAATGTAGTAGCATGACAAACAAATAAAAGAGATACAAAACATTGATAAAAGGCTGCAATACAAACAATAATGTGGCCTAGTAAAGTGCCTATAGGCTATAAATTTTGTATATATCTAAACAATAGTAATTTTGATGGTGCTATATACCGTTTATTTTAATATTTGTGGCAGCCATGCTTTGCTATTTTTTTTTTCTAGTATTCTCTAATTATATTCTAAATCATGTAACATTCATGTGAAGAATTAGTGATCATGCGAAAATCGAATATTTACACTAGAGTACGTCAAATGGTTATAGAAACATTGAGTAGGTGTTGAAAAAAAAAAATGTAAAGTTTAAGTCCACCGTAACTTCACACTATATGATAATTACATATGTGCAACACGTCAAAACTAAGTGCTCACTTGCTGAAATCAATAAGGCTAGCAGACAAGAAGATCGTATGTAACATATAATGATCAATTGCCTTTGTTTTGTCTTTTTTATAAGAACTTCAATAACAATAAATGTGTGCATTTAAATAACTCACCAAAATGGTATCAGGTGCCACTAACGGAAGATATTCGAATCAGTCTAGGCGATCAATCAATAGCGAAAGGATTGTAAGAACGATCTCCGTTGGTAGGTAATTCAAAAAATCGGCCATTGTTATATTATATGCATTGAAAAAGTAGCCAAACGTCAACATCTTGTAAGAAAGATTGAAATGACTATTGGATAATATAATATGAAATAAAAATTCTGAGAATGTAGTAGCATGACATATAAAAAATAAAAATAAATATAAAAACCAATAAAAAACTTTGATAAAAGGCTGGGATACAGACAATAATGGAGCCTATAAGTGTAAATAGATGTTATTGAAATGAATGCCCAAATTTCATACCACAAGGGACTTGTTTGGAGAGAAAACCCTTGTTTTGTTCATGGAAATTATTGATCTTTATTATCTGTTGTACCCCTTAGTATATTACAGTCAAAATCAAAATTAAAGAACTTTGAAAAGAAAGAGAAAATAATATGAATTACAAGAGGAGAGTTTTCTTTCAAATAAAATAAAATAAGATTTCATCTAGTGAAACCCTAGTTATAATTTGTGGAAATCTAAAACTCAAAGAAATGGATACATATCTGTAATATTTGCTTAAATTAATCAAATCAAACAAGAAGAACTAGGGGCGACCAAGAATCTGCAAGAAATTAAGCTACAAAGCAAAGATTTTTTAATCATTCAGAAGAATGGAGATGTAACTCTGGCTCCAAAACAACTTGAAAGGTCAATGGATACACAAAAATACATACATACCTCTGAGTCTGTTCGTGAAATTCAGGTGGATTCGGGGAAATTTCGCTAGGGAGAGAAGGAGAGGGAGAGGGAGAAGAAGAGGGAGAGACTTCCGACAAGAAAATGCGAGTGTGTTTTTTTGGATTTGGAGAGGGAGAAAAGATGACGAAAAGAGAAAAGTCGGATTAATGGTATATTCTTCAGGTGTTTTCTGCTTTGGTTTTGTTTGTAATTTTTATTTTTATTTTTTATTTTTTTAAGCCAATTAATATTATTGTAATGAACAACCTTTTTTTACCATTCCAAATATGATGAATAGTGGAACCCTAAACTAACCCTTGGATATCTATAAGAAGTAAAGTATCGTGATGCATTTAATTTACCATAATTAATTACATTTAAATTCCTGATAACAGTCATAATCAATCCAAACCAAATAACTCCAAATGAAAGACAAACAGAAGAAATCAATAACTCTAAACCAATTTATGATGATCTTAGTTGCACAAATGACAAGCCAGAAGAAATAAAAAGCTCTAAACCAATTTATGATGATCTTAATTGTTCAAATACTATAAATCTGTCATCTAAAAGTAAGTTACAATATTATAACGACATTACTTAAAGGGTTTGACATAAAACAATACATTCACAGGTAGAAGTATTAAAAGTTCCACTAATCAAATGGGCATTCTAAATACAGTATGTTCCGATGAAATAAACCAACAAATAACCAAGTTGACCAACAATCCAATTGTCTTCAATGTGACATATGAACAAAAAGAAATGACCAACGCAATAGTGACAAAATAATAAAGAATACTACAACAAGAATAAACATATCTAGAAGGAGCCAGATAGAACATGATTTGTGACTAGCAACAAACCCATCAAACAACAGCAGACTATAATACAGCTACCGCATCTTTGCATCTTTACACCCTTTTGGATTTACACCCTTAACTGGGCTTAATTTGAAGCCAAATAACATAATTGTATTGTGAATATATATATATATATATAAAGCATCTCCAAGGTTGGAAGTGCATTAATAACCTTAATTCAATCAAACACAATAAGAAAACCAACCTCTGTGTGTCACATTGTCTGTGGTGCAAAAGGGTGAGTTGATTTCTTAAGACGGAACTTCATGTGACTTCTTTAAGATTAAGATTTTTCATACTTTCTATTGTGGAGATTATAAAAAAAAAATAAAACTTATGGTCTTTAGAAACCTTACTCAACAAATGAGATATTAGACTTCCAACCAAATGAGAGAAACTGAACCTAATGTCGCTTACACTCGACTAGATAGATACTTTACTTGTTGGGTATGATAGATAGTAGAAGAACTTGCAGAAGAAAATATTACGTGCTGTTTTTGGATAAGTTCTTTTTTCACTCACCATGAAGTAAGGATTACATCCATATGTATAACCAAGAGACTTTCTAGACAACTCCATAGGACTCTTGATCTTCGTGCCATTACTTCAGGGTATAATTATTGGCAATTACTAGAACTTAAAGTTCATATTAACTATCCTGAAAGTTACAAATTATTGTTTCAACACCGTCTCTTAATTTGTAATTTTCAAATGTTGTTTGTGCTTCTCCATCTTCTCCGCACCAAGGGGTTTGGTGAGAATATCAGCCGGTTGCTCACTTGAATTGATGAATTCAATGTTTGTTTCCCCTTTCGCCACAAGGGCTCGAATGAAGTGATGACGTAGTTCAATGTGTTTTGAGCGAGCATGAAACACGGGATTCTTTGTTAGTGAAATAGCCGACTTGTTGTCACAGAAGATTGTCGTTGCACCTTTTTGCTTAAATTGCAAATCTTCCAGCATTCTCCTAAGCCACACTCCTTCACAAGCCGCTTCAGTAATAGCAGAGTACTCGGCTTCGGTAGATGATAGTGCTACTGTTCTTTGCTTCCTTGAACGCCAAGATATTGGTGATTTCCCAAGACAAAATATATATCCTGTGGTACTCTTTCTATCATCAATCGAGCCAGCCCAATCGCTATCAACATAGCCAACCAAATTGCAATCGTTTTCTTTTCCATATAGAATTCCGAGCTTCCTGGTTCCTTGAAGATAACGCAGAATTCTTTTTGCTGCTGCAAAATGATTTTTTCTTGGATCATTCATGTACCTGGACACCACACTAACTGAAAAAGCAATGTCTGGCCTCGTGTGAGTTAAATAAATGAGAGATCCCACTAAACTTCGAAAGAGAGAAACATCCACTTTTTCCGAGTCATTTAACTGCTGGAGTTTTTCATTTGTTGCCATAGGCGTGGACATGGGTTTGCAAGTAGCCATGTGGAATCTCTTCAAAATATCATCAACGTATTTTTCTTGTGATAGAAAAATTTTTCCTTCGCTTTGCCTTACTTGCATTCCCAAAAAATACTTCATTGTCCCCAAATCCGTCATCTCAAATTCCATCTTCATCTTCTGCCTAAAACTCTCCAGCAATGATTCGTTAGTTCCGTAATAAATCAAATCATCAACATATAAACAAACGACAAGAAAATCACCCCCTTCTTTCTTGATGTATAGTGAGGGCTCATTTGGACTTTTCTGAAAACTGCAGCTTGCAAAGTAGCTGTCAATTTTGTTGTTCCAGGCTCGCGGAGCTTGCTTTAGCCCATATAAAGCCTTTCGAAGTCGGTAGACTTTCTCCTCGCTCTTTTTCACGACAAATCCTTCAGGCTGCTCTACATAAACCTCTTCCTCCAATTCTCCATTTAAGAAAGCGGACTTCACATCAAATTGATAGATTTTCAATCCATAATGGGCTGCAATTGCTATAACAGTGCGAATGGTCTCCATTCTCGCCACCGGAGCAAATGTTTCATTGAAGTCGACGCCGGGCTGTTGCGAGTACCCTTTTGCAACAAGACGTGCCTTATGTTTCTGCACTGAACCATCCTCATTAAACTTTGTTTTGTAGATCCACTTCAGCCCAACAACATCCTTCCCTTCCGGTAAATTGACAAGTTCCCACGTTCGGTTCTTTTTAATCATATCAATTTCTTCGTTCATTGCTTGTACCCAGAATTTTTCTTTTGCAGCTTCTTGAAAGTTCTGTGGTTCATGACAGAAAAATGCAAAATTGCATGAGGAGTATATGTCCTGCAAAGGTCGTACCTTCAGAATTGGATTTTCTGAATCCGGTTCTTCATCATTTGGATTTGGTTGAGCCGAAGTTGGACTGGCAGGAGCATTCTCGCACTGAGTTGTGCGCTCATTCTGTAATCGCAATGGTTCTGTAAACTGGCCAGGCTGATTTGATGGCTGTTCATAATCTGAATCATTCTTGATCTTCCAATCCCATGCTCCACTTTCATCGAATATGACATCTCTAGAAACAGTCAGCCGATTTTCCTTTGGATCGAAAAGTCTGTACCCCTTGCTTTCATCACTGTAACCAATGAAAATATATTTCTCACCCTTCTTGTCGAACTTCTCACGTTTCTGAGCTGGTACATGAGCAAAGGCTATGCTTCCAAATATCTTCAAATGATCGACCACCGGCTTTCTCTTATTCCACGCCTCGAACGGAGTCTTGTTTGGCTGTTGAAACAATAATTTGTAACTTTCAGGATAGTTAATATGAACTTTAAGTTCTAGTAATTGCCAATAATTATACCCTGAAGTAATGGCACGAAGATCAAGAGTCCTATGGAGTTGTCTAGAAAGTCTCTTGGTTATACATATGGATGTAATCCTTACTTCATGGTGAGTGAAAAAAGAACTTATCCAAAAACAGCACGTAATATTTTCTTCTGCAAGTTCTTCTACTATCTATCATACCCAACAAATTTTGTATCAGAGCTTGAAAACAATGTCCAGTTCTGTTCCTACCATGTTTAAATATTCCCCGAGTGAGGTTCCAATCTTTGAAGGCGATCATTACAATTATTGGAGTAGTGAAATGCAAGATTTCTTCATTTCACATGACCTTTGGGATATTGTTGCAGATGGATTTGAAGAACCACCTGTAGAAGGTGCATCTGCAGCCTGGACTAACGCTCAGCAAAAACAATACAAAGAAAATAAGAAAAAGGATTGCACTGCACTTCGCTACATCAAGCAAGGAGTGGGTAAGACAATTTATCCACGGATTTTCAATAAAAAGAAGGCAAAAGATGCATGGGACGTGTTGAAGGAGGAGTTTCATGGCAATGATAGAGTTATCTCTATTCGCCTTCAATCTCTATGGAGGGACTTCGACAACTTGGCGATGAAAGAGAGTGAACATGTGAGTAAATTTTTTACAAGAGCTGTTGACATTGTCAATCACATTGAAAGTCTTGGAGACACCATCCAAAGCAAGAAGGTAATCGA